CTGCTTAATGCTTCCTACAAAGGTGATCATGAGTGGGCGAAAAATACCTTAGAGGCTAGCAGGGAGTGAGAGTCTGACTCTTTTCCTGAGCTGCGTGTCCCAACCATCTTTATCAGCGGTAAGTGAACTGCTTCATTCTTGCCCTGCTTGAATTTTTGTTAAGCTGCTCCACGACTTCAGTTTACTGGTCATCTTTCTTACTTTTTGTAGATTCGGATTTTGGCTCAACTCCAAGAATTTTGGAATATATGAAGAAAGTGCACATCGCATTGGGCATTCCTGTTGAGTACCGTAAGTGACGTTGGCTGCTCGGTCCTCTTCGTCAGAAGGAAAACGAGCTGCCTTTGAAGAAAGAGATAAAGCGGATAAATGATGAGGCATTTACTCGTCCGATCGCTGCTGTAGAGCATGCTACCAACGAGGGTGGAAAGAAGAGATCGGACGAGCAAATGCCTCATCATTTATCTAAAAAGGATGAAAAAGTCCGTTGAGCCTAAGCCTGTAAAACCTACTGCTCCGAAGATGGCCATATTTATTGCTGAGAGACTTGCCCAGCAGAAGTTAAGTCTGGTTCAACTTCTGAGAGGCTCACCGCTATGAAGAGCGGGAAAGTGGATTTTGCCACTAAAGTGGCGCCAAGGCTTGTTCCCCATTCTGCCGTGACTAACTCGTCTGCTGAAAAGGGGAAGTCTGCTCGCATGGGCTATTGTGAGAGATCCGTCGAGTCTGAGGCTAGTGAGTTTCTCGAGGTTTGTGCGCTTCTGAAGGCTAACCTACTTGAGGACATTAATGCATGCGCCAAGTTCGTTGACAATGTCAGGAACGTTGTCATCCATTCATACTCGTTTTTTAGGCGTCTTGCCTATTGGAGGAGGTACACCTTGACTGCTACAATGCATAAGACCTTGATCTTTGCAGTTAAGTCCATGCGCGTTGATTAGGATGCTGCTCATTGTGCTTATAAGGCTGAAGTGGCGTTGGTGGCTCAGCTTCGCTCGGTTGCTGAAAAGATCGAGAAGCTTAAATCTGAACTCGTCATTTTGAACCACTTCTTTGCAACTGGAGATCATTTATCAAGAGGTCGTGCACTTGAAAGCTAAGCTTAGTGCGACTCAGGCGATGTTGGAAGCTGTAGAGAAGGAAGTCAGTCATGTTTCCTCGATGGTCGATGACCTTGAGCGTGTCAATTCGAAGCTATGATCTGCTTATTTTTCCAAGGATGATGAGCTTATCTTCTTGCATGCTCATGTGTCTTGTCTCAAGGAGGTTGCCAGTAAGCTCAAGTCCAAAGAAGTGGATCTGCAAGGAGTATTGTCTGCTAACTAGAACCTTAAATTAGGCTTGTTGAGGAGAATATGCAGCTGAAAAATGAGAAAGTTGGTCACAAAGTGTCGCTTGCTTCTTGTCAAACCAATTTCTACAAGCTTGGCTATGTAGACCATATTCAGGGTAGGTCGTCGGATTGTGAGTTTTTCAAGAATAACTTCGAGACTTTTTCCATTTCTCCAGTTGATCTGCTTGATTTCTCATTCGAGGCTGCCTTTGGTGGAGCAACTAAGGGTCAGACAATCCAGGCAGGGGTGGCTGAGGATGAGCTGATGGAAGCTTTGGCTGCTAAGAGCAATGCGGCTGCTGAAAATGTGGCCGTTGAGGGACCAGTGGTTGCGCAGGTTACCGATGAGTAGTCTTTTGCTTAGACTTAGGAATTTTCTTCTTTTCTCTTGTCTTCTGCTTTATTTAAACTTTGTTGGCCATCGAGCTGGTTTATCAATTTACTAGAAATTTAATAAACAATTTTCCTTGCTTTGCTTCATCCTTCTATTTTGCCATGTATTTTGCAAAACTTTATTCTAGGATGATCGACTGGGTGAGCTGCCTCAATGAAGCAGCTGATCCCACATCATCGCTTAGGTTTTAGTTTCATCTTCGAGGCTTTAAGAGCTTTATATGCAAGAGGAAAAAATACGAGATTTCTAACTTATAGAGCCGACGGCCAAACTTGTTGCCTCTGAAGGAAGCAGGCGAGTTCACGTAGCTACTATAGTTATGAATCTTGGCTTTGAAAGGCTTCATGAGCTTTAGCCCTTTTGGGGCGTATTGTGAAAATTTTTAACCTATAGAGTCAACGACAGGACACGTGCTTCTTGTTGAAAGTAGAAGAGTCCGCGTAGTTACCATGGTTATATTTCAACTTTGAATGGCTTCTTGAACTTTGGTGGCTTCTTGAGGTACTATTTCCATTTCAGGCAGCCGTTGGTAGTGTGACCTGGCCCTTGGTGGAATGCGCAATACTTTGTCTGATCTAGCTTGGAAAGATCACGTTTCATTGGTGGCTGCAATTTGAACCATGGTTCATTCTTGAGCTTACGAATAATCTGGCTAATTGGAACTGTGAACTTGGTGAACGCCTTAGGCGCTGAGTCATCTCTGCTTGGGGAATGGTTTATACACTTATTTTTTTGCTCGTTCCCACATGGCTGCTTGGCCTCGTCCTATAATGCATGCTTTTTTGCCAAAGCATACGAAGCTGCCAGGGTCAGTTCCCCACCCATGATCAATTTTCCAAATAAAGGGTGTTCAGCAGGAAACCCATTTTTGAATACTGTCATTACTATGCCCTCGTTGCAACTGACAATCTTAGCCTTGTCCGCCTTGAACCTCTTGATATAGTTGCGAATTGACTCATTTAAGCCATTCACGATGTTGAAGAGGTGGTCGAACGTCTTTTTGAATGAGTGATAGGATGAATGGTCCTTGGTGAAAACCAAAGAAAGTTCGTTGAAGTTCTAGATTGAGCGTGATGGTAAGGTATGGAACCAATCTTGTGATTCACCCCGCAATGTTCTTAAGAAAATCTTGCATATAAGAGCATCATTCTTGCTGTAAAGAATCATCACGTTGCAGTGGTGCTTCAGGTGCCTATCTGGATCTTCATCTCCCTTGAAATGTGGCGAGCTAAACTTCCATGGTCACTCTGTTTGCTCGATCTCGTCTGTAAATGGTGACCTGCTTATGTTGGCCACATCTTTATGAAGGACATTGTCAGTGGTATCAATGCCATAGAATCCGCGCAATTGTTATGTTACGAGTTTTTGTATTTCCTCTTGGATTTGCGCCTGGTGGGGCAATGGAACCTCCAGCTACCCCCGGTGTTGACTTGCTGGTCCAAGTTACTTTTAGGCATGTCCTGCTCATCTGTGTCACGGTCGAGGTGTACGTGGTTGGTTCTATGCTGCTCGCCGTCGCGCTTGGCGAGGGCTGCCAATTGACTTTGAGCTGAAATGTTCTTGTGCTTTGCTTTGTCAGTCATGCGGCTGCCTACTCCAGTGCCTCGAATGAGGATCTCCTTGTGGACCTAGCCTTCTGTGGACGCTTCACATAGAATGTCCTGAGTGCTCGCCGGAGTGTAAACCCATCCTCGAATGCACATTAACTCATGAGCCAAGTCAGGAATGAACGTTTCTTTGCGCATCTAGGCGGGAACAGACGTTTCCCCGAGGCCCAAACAAGAGTGCACATTACCAGAACGCACGGTTCGTGGCGGGCTGAGCGGTTCTTTGTCAGGATGTCGCTGGAATGAGTCACGTTATTCTGCCCTTGTCCTGCTTCTGGACACCTCGTCGGGGGCGCGCTGCATCTCGATACACTCAATGAGTTGGTTTACCAAGATGGTCTGCTACACGAGGGCGTTTGTCAAATTGGTGACCTGCTGGGGCAGGTGGTGCTCGCCATTTAGATTGGAAGAGTCTGGATAATGGGCGTCTCCATGTGTGGTGGAAGTATAATGAATTGCAGGTACAAAGCTTGAGCCCAAAGCGGGCATTCCTGTAGAAAAGTGGGGTGAAAATAACCCTGAGTCGATTGCGGGACCGATGGTTGAAATCTGGATCGCTGGAGATGGCCTCAGATTGGATAGGGATAGGGGCGACCATAGTGTTAACGTTTTACCCTACATGTGGCGGCATCCTATTGGCCAAGTGTTTTATGAAGAAATATTCTCAAAATATTAAATAAGAAACATTATCTTGAGATAATGGAGTAATTATCCCTAATTTATTTAAATTGGGATTACTTACTTGATTAGAGTCAATCTTCAATTGGGAATGTATTAAAGATAGGATTTGGGTAATTAATCTTTATCTTTAATGCTTTGACTTTTCCTTGGCAAGAGCAGGTAAGCTGTGGGCAATCGTTTTTAGCTATTAGGACATTTAGGGGTGTGAGCTGCGCATAGGAGCATCTAAAAGGCCTGCCCATTTATTGAGGGCAATCTTGTCTTTCTTGAGGAAAATTCCACATGTCGCCTCTAGAATTTTTAGAATTATTTTAGGCTCCACATTAATTTGTTATCAACTGTTCTTATTTTTAAAAGAGAAATTAAAAAAAAAAAGTCACACCATATGATGTAACAAATCACATTAGCTCGTCACATTATCATCTCATTTTTTCAAATCAACTCATTTAATCAAATTATTCCAGACTAATCCAATTTATTAAACCTTGTCGTGTTTAATTTGAAAATAAATTGAAATAGTATAAACAATGAAAAGTAAATATCATTTTGTAGTTGGATATGAAAAACAAGTTTCAAACAGTTTTTCATTTGCTTTTTCCTTTTGTCGAAATAAAAAAAAAATACATGCACATATGTTTAATCTACTTGTGCACTTACTTATGATCAATGCATATTTACCATACAAATATTATAATAGAAACCATCCGTTCTCTCTACTATTATCTAAAAATAATCTCTACAAAAAATTATTTAATTTAAAAAATATTTATTATGTGTCAAATAAATTGATAATTTTGAAAACAAGTAACATCAGAGTATTAAAAAATTAATTTTGTCCTCTCTCATCTTATCTCTTCTTTTTAATTTAGACGGTTTAAATTATTTTGAAGGTTTAAAGTTATCCCACATATTTTATGAGCTTATTTTATTAAATAAACAAATAAATAAAACTTACTAACAACTCCAACCCACCAGATCGAAAGGAAAGAAAGGGACGTGAGGGGAGAGGGTATTTGGAGGATATCTCACTCCTCTCTCTCTCTCGTACACAGAAGCTTAGCGTGTAGCTTCATCTGCCGTACTGCTACTGTGCTCCCCCCAAGAAAACATACAAAGAGTAATGGCAGACCACGGTATCACCTCCCCCCTCCTCTCTCCTCCACCTTCCGATCACCCCCACTTGATCCTCACCGTCCAAGACGAGACCGAGACCGATACCGATAGCCACCACAACGGCACCCACACTCATCAGAGCACCAGCGCCCACCACCACCACTCTCGCAACCCTTTTGCGTTTCTCGGGTCCGATGGGTTCACCGTGCCCGTTTCCACCACCGCCGACCCGTTTCGGAACCACACCCTGGAGATTACGGGTGTTTACGAGTGGTTAAAGATCGGAATTTGCCTGCCCGTCGCCCTGGCTCGGCTGGTGCTGTTTGGGGCGTCGTTGGTGATTGGGTTTTTGGCGACGAAATTGGCTCTTCAGGGGTGGAAGGATAAGAAGGACCCTATGCCGAGGTGGAGGTGCAGGATTATGTGGATCACTAGGGTCTGTACTCGATGCATTCTCTTCGCTTTTGGGTAAGTTTGATCTGAATTTTTGTTGGGTTTTTGTTTTTGTTTTTGTTTGTTATTCTGTTCTGGGTTGGTTAAGCTGTGTTTGGTTGCTGGGAAAGTGGAGGAATGGACTAGAAACTGGAATTTGGAATTTTTATTTTAATTGAGGTGAGGTAGTTAGTTTGAATGGAAATGGTCAGATGGAAGCTTAGGATTGTGAAATGTTTCTTGGGACCTGTTTCTGTTTGGATGCTGAAAAGTGAAAACTTGAGCAAGTAATGAACTTTGAGTTTTGGATATTTAATTGCTGCAATCAAAGTGAAGAGAATGGTTTTATTAGATTCAATTGAAAGGAAGGATAAGAAGTGTTGGAGTAAACTATTAGATTGTTTTGGAAAATTGAAAATACAAACTGGAGCGAAATGGTATCGGGTGTAATAAGTAATCGTGTGGCAGTTTATCTCTTTCATGTTATTGATGATTTTCATTTTAATCTCTGTTTCCTCGGAGTTTTAAAATTTTGATTTTTCCCTTTTGCACCTCTTGTTGCAGCTACCACTGGATAAGACGGAAAGGAAAACCAGCTCCTAGAGACATTGCTCCAATTGTCGTTTCAAACCATGTATCTTTTATTGAACCTATCTTCTATTTCTATGAATTATTCCCTACAATTGTGGCATCCGAATCCCATGATTCCATACCTTTTGTAGGGACGATCATCAGAGCAATGCAGGTAATTTCACAGTAATTGTGCACTTCATTTGCTAACAAACTTGTTTCAGTCTCTTTAGTTGGTGGAATTTATATTCGGTTTTCTTAGTTTGTCTTATCGTTTTACGTTATCAGGTGATATATGTTAATAGGTTTTCAGCATCATCAAGGAAGCAAGCTGTTAGTGAAATCAAGGTAGAAAGTTTCTGTTAGTTCTTGGTTATCCTTATTTGATTAGTAAGTTATAAACCCGTTTAGAATCATAGGTTGGCGACCATTGTCACTGCCAGTCGTTTGTTATAAAAGTAAGCACATATATGCTTCTGCTTTCCTTCTTATAATTATTAAGTTTATCTTTTTAATTATTTGGGTGCCCTTACCTTGAAACATCTCTCTTTCAACTGTAAATTGTTGCTTCCTTAAAACTATAATTGTATTTCTTGTGATGTGGTCTCTTGTATTTCTTGTGAGATTTTAGCCTGAATCACCATGTTAATATAAATAATAGATTAATTTAAACCAAATTAAACTTGCAAGCCCACAAATCAATTGTAGTAATATATGCAAATATGAGGTCGATCCCACAGAGATTGCTTTAACACCAATTTAACCGATTAATCACTCTAAACTTAATTAAACAAACAAAGGATAGACTGAGTTGAAAAATTGAGTAATTGATCAAGACTAAAATTGACGAGAAAAAGAAAATACAATTAATTAAAATAAACACATGGCACAAGAAAGTCTAAGGTTATGAATTCACCAATAACAATCCCATTTACTTTTCCTAGAGCCAACTATTATCCAATTACCATGCCAATTACTCAATTTTTCATAGATTGTAATACTTACATGCCCTTTTAGTCCAACTGCAGCTGGAATACACTTTACATCCCTTTTAGGTATTTATCTTCGTTTAATTAGTTGCATGTTGGATGTAACTGTGTGAACCCATACTACTTTAGGAGATAAAAAGTTAAGTGTTTTTTTCAATTTTATAAGCTATTTGATACAGAAATGTGCTTTCAAGGATCTGAATACAGAGAAAAGCTTCGTGTGGTAGATTTCCTCGAGTTCTTTTATTTCCCGAGGGAACCACAACCAACGGGAGATATCTCATTTCGTTTGAACTTGGTGCATTCATCCCTGGTTTCGCTATCCAACCAGTAGTTGTACGATATCCCCATGTACACTTTGACCAATCCTGGTAGGACACTTTTCCAATTTGAAACTTTCATTTGGTGCTGTCTTCAGTGGTATCTAATAATGTTTCATGTCTTTAGTGGTATCTAATAATGTTTCATGTGGAATGCTGTTCAGGGGGCACATTTCTTTGGCAAGGCTCATGTTTAGAATGTTCACACAGCTTCACAATTTCATGGAGGTAATCTCTTTCTCCTATTTGATTTTGGTTGATGCACTGTGTGGTGTTATAAGATTTTTGTATTGCATGGGCATTGATTTAGATAAATTGAATTGAGCAGGTAGAGTACCTTCCTGTTGTTTCACCCCTTGAGAACAAGAAAGAAAGTGCTATCTGTTTTTCGGAGAGGGTGAGAATTTTTGTTAAATTGATTTGCTGTCTGTTTTTCTTGAGCCATGAGTGTAGTTGTGCACTTTACATTTTCTGTTCTGCCATTGTTTTGTAGATTGTTAATAGAAGTTGACACGTATGAATATATGCAGACTAGTCATGCTATTGCAACTGCACTCAACGTTGTACAGACATCTCATTCTTATGGAGACTTAATGCTTCTCACGAAAGCATCTCAGTCAAAATTGAAACCAGTAAGCATCTTGGTTAATACTTCTTTAGAATTTGTTTTTGTTTGAAACCAACCTATCAACCTGAGACCAGCCAACCACATTCGTTTACCCTAGCCAAAGCCCAACAATTTAGCATTACAAGAGCTTCTATGTCTTAGATTTTGTTTAAAAAAATTTAAGAGCTATTCACAACCTATTTATATTGCACTAAATGTTTCTATATGTTCACAGGAGCGACCTTCGGTGTATATGGTTGAAATGGCAAGTGTAAAATCAGTAAGTCATTGCATATAATTGCTCTCTCTCTCTCTCTCTCTATATATATATATATGTGTGTGTGTGTGTGTGTGTGTGTGTGTGTGTGTGTGTGTGTATAATATTATGAACTGCAAGAGAATTTATAGTTGTGCATCCTGGTGTGTAGATTAACATATATAGTTTTAGATACTATAACTAATTTTTTATTTGTCCATAGGAGTGACATTCAGCTTATATGGTTGAAATAACTTCTATCTTCTTCTTAGAAAAAGTTACATTTGGAAATTAGTTTAATATTTTTCTTGCGCCTCATTTATTTCCTCTGAATACTCTATTCTAAAGTTGTGGATGATTTGCAAAATCAGCCATTAGTACTTATAGATCTGATCGAATATGCCCAATAAAAGCATTCAGCAAAACAAGGGCAAGGCTGTTGAAATGGTTTAAGATGACTATTTAATTCCTTGGTCATGACCGTGTTGCTTGTGTGCCTGTATTCTCAAGGCACTTGTCCTTTATTTACATACTGTAACATAATGATGCGGCTCGCGCTTGAAAACAGAATAATTTCATGAGTATACCAGAGTAGACAAGGACGAAAATGCCAATATTACCCTACTTATTTCATTGATTCAATGCATTGACAACTTATAGTGCTAACGTCTACCAGAGTGGCTATAGCTTCTTGAATACAGTCTAATGCGTCTACTTTTTGCATGGTATATGGTATTTCTATCTGCTGCCATTACAAGAGTGTCTAAGTTTTATACCCTTTATAACTTATTGCGCCCTTTGCTTTGGTTAACAATGTATTTGAATTTATGTCTTGTTTTTCAGTTACTCCATATAAGCAGCATGGAAGCTGTGGACTTTCTGGATAAGTTTCTTTCTATGAATCCAGACCCAAGGTATTCTTGAAACTATCATTACATTGAAGTTATCACCAAGTCTTATTTTTGGCGAGTGATGCTTGTCAACCATTATTATTATTGTCAATGCCGCAGTTGGTTATTTAAATTTAGTATCTGTCGTCTGAATTATGATTCATATATAATTCTGATGCCTCCACCTTGTTTCTTGTAAATATCTTCCCTCCTGCCATATGCTCTTAAGTTCTCAACATTTATGGTGGAAATTCTTGTTACTAGATAAATGTAATTAGTTGTGTTAAGATTGCTTGTTCAAGATGATACATTAAATGCTCTTAGAATGTCATGTTTTAATGGCAAATATCAGTCCTGCCAACCCAGAAAACCAAAAGGGTGCAGCCTTTCTCTTATTGTCTTTGACTCTTTGTCAGTCATACTAACACTAACTATTATGTGTATACTATTTGTGTTCATCCTGCTTCTAAATTGTATGCATTTTTACAATTTTTTTTTTTTCATTTTCATGTTTGTACAATGTCGTTCCTGAAGCTTGTCTTATCTTTGCAACTTCTATAGTTCACTTAGCAATGCTTAAAGCCTTGGACAATTTATTTAACATCATTTAGTGATTAGATTCTAGCTAATAATTTAGTTAAATACAGTGGCATTTGAAATGCTTAACTTACTAGTGCTTTGAATATATGCAAAACTTATGGCAAATGCAAGACCTGTAGGATTCTTATTGTTGTATCCTGCTTGCAGAGGTCATGTTCACTACCATGATTTCTTAAAGGTGCTAAGACTCAAGACTTGTAGCTTTTCCGAAGAGGTCAGTTACCATTATCTTTTGCCAAACAATTTCTGTCGTCTCTTGGTTTGCAGCTTTTGTGAACTCAATGCTAAGATTTAGAGTTTAGACAGTTTATAAGATATGTTCTTGCTTTTCTGATATGAACTTTGGTATATAAGAGATTCACATCAGAATCGTGTGTGTACATGTATGGGAGTTAGAATAGTGAGTTGGTAAACGTAACATGAATTGATGCTTCAAAGCACCCAATTCAAAGACGGTTGCATGGCTTTTGATACCATTCTGTTGGTCACCTGGACCTGGTGAAGTTACTTTTTTTTGTCTATATCCCGGAATCCGGATGATTGTTTGCTCCAAGTGTTTGTCCTCTTGTGGACTTCAGTAGCGTACATTACAACTAGCTTAGTGGTTAGTGTGTTTGCATGGTGTCTACATCTTTAATGACATGGGAACACGTATCCTTTTGCAGGGTTACACAAGGTCTTAATTATGGGCAGGGTACACAGTTTTAAATATGCGGAGAATGCATGATAACCATTCTGGTCTTTTTAATTTTTTGACCGTTGTCTTTTCCTTATATTAACTATCATGATTGTGTTCTGTTTCTGAATGTGTAAAGTATACTATATTACATATGATTGAGCATTACAGCATGTCAATTGGTTTCTTGAATGTATTTAACTTTCAATTTTCCATGTCATTCTCATGGAAACATTTTGGATCACAGATATGTGCATTTATGGATGTGGAGAAAAGTGGAGTAATAACGTTTAAGCAGGTAATCGAACACTCCCAACCTCTCTCTAGAAATCCACGAAGTTGCATTAGATAGATCAATGCATGTTGACACTTGCAGGCAGATTCGACTATCATAATAGCTTTGCATATTTCATATTTGGTTAGATACCAAATAATTTAGTTTCACAACTGGAATAACTTTTTGCTCATGCAAATATGGGAATTGGGCATAGATGAAATTGTTTGTGCATCTGAGTTGGTTTTGGTTTATCTTTTGTACATGCTAATGTCATGATACCAAGTAGCACATAATTGTATCACTCTGTCGCTTTCAGTTCTTATTTGGATCAGCGCATGTCGTGAAGCAGCCATTGTTCCATAGAGCCTGTGAATTCGCCTTTTCGGAATGCATTTCTGGGGAGAGTGACCATGTTTCAGAACAAAAAGTATGCTGCTTGCACTGATTTTCCTGCTTTTGCTCTTTTCAAGTCCCCACGTATCATTTTTATGATGAATTGACTCGTGATTCCTTGTTTCTTAATTGCTTCTGATTCTGAATCAGTTTGGAGAGTCCATCAGACCTGCAATCCCGGATTTGAACGAGGATGAGGTGATGGCATACCCTTTTAGGCTAGGATTTTTCAACATTGCCTGCACATAATGGAGCAAGAAAGCATAGCAGAGATATTACCAATTGCAAGATGACTAATGTGTAATAAATTGCTTGCAGGTCCGTGAACTGTTCAATCTATTTGATTCTGATAATGACGGAAGAATCAGCAAGGAAGATTTTTTGACGTGCCTAAGAAAAAACCCACTACTGATTGCGCTTTTCTCGCCTTGTTTGCATAACAAAGACATTTCAGAAGATGGTAATAGGTTGGTGGAGGAGATTGTGTAGTGGATGAGGTTCTCTTTAGGGTTTGTGGAGATTTTATGCAGCATTTGTAACCTTTGATAGTCTGGTATTATTTTGGGTGGATAAGGGAGCGGAGAGAGGCCGAGCTTCGGGTTTTGCTGAAGTACAGTGGATGGAGGGAGGAGGGGTGGGGGGGCTTAATATTTTTGCCTTGCTCCCTAAAACTGGTCATGTCATACCAGAGTTTTGATTTAATTGCTTTTTCTTCTTCTGTAAGTTTATGTAATCATCGTTTTTATCTTAGTACTCGCTTTATAACTTCATGTCTGTTGGATGGAACAAATTAAAAGAAAAGAAAATTAAGTACCAGGATTGATTTTTTAGTGTAAAAATATGGCCACTCGAATATAGATATATGGTAGCTAATTTATGCGATTTCTTCTCTCAATTCCGGAATATCCTCCTTTCGCCAAACCCTCAAACCCAATGTCACTCCTCCTTCCGTCAAACCCTCAGACAATTTCAAAAATCAAGAAATTGGAAATCACGCGAGAATCAATTTTACCCCTGATTATTCTCTATGGCCTCTTTGAGATCGATCTCTCCTCTCAGTCTATAAAAACCTTATGATTTCATTGTTGTTCTCTACGCCGCTGCATCCCAAAACCCTAATATCTCAGTTGCTTTTAGGTGATGATTTTAGTTGTTCAGTCAAATTTTCATGTCCGACTATTTTGAAATTCTAACACGATTGTCTCTTTTTGGTGCACTTTTCTGGGGCTTTGTATTCCCTGGTGGATAAGCTTTGGGAACTTGTGGTGAGAGATGCTGCTTGACTTTTGGTGAGTTTTAATTTGAGTATTGATAATAAATTAATTGGAATATTAGACTGTGGCTTTCTATGTCGCTATCTATTTAAGTAGTTAGGATTGTAAATTTTCTTAGTCAACAAAAAGAAAAAGGCAACTCAAGCTCTTTATGTCCTCCCAATTTGTGCTTTTGAAATCATTTTCATATAGGAAGCAGTATTGGCTGCTTCTCTTTGTGTTCTTATCATGCATGTTTCAAAACGGAAAGAAGGCTTTGTTTTTCTTCTTTTTGTTGATTTTATCTAATTATAATGATGCTTTGATAAATTTAAATTAACAATATACTGATTACTATTGAATGAAATTTCAATTGTGAAATTTGCAGAATGTTTCTAAGTGTAAATTCATGTATTATATATCGCTTTTGGTAATTTCCAGAATATTTTGATATCTAATAGACTAATACTAATGTATTGAATCAATACTGCACATTCAAATTATATGCATGTTAGAGTGCTTTTTTTTTTCCTTTGTTTTTTTTCATTTGTTTTCTATTTATTTATTTGACATTCATATTGTATTTTCTTTTGTCATATTGAGTGAGCTTTTTGGAATACAATGGCTGCGAGAGATATGTTTGTTGAAGCTACTAAAAAAGTAAGTTCTCAAATTTGGACCAACGCTAATGCTTCGTCAGTGCCACCTCCTTCACTTGTGGATAGTGTTGAGAAGAAAAAAGTGTGGTGAATCTTTTAATCCCATTGACCCTAGAGCTACTTGCAACTACTGTAAGAAGAGTTATGCTTGTGATACGAAGAAGTGTGGGACCTCTAGTTTGTGGAACCATTTGTCTAATCAGGTAAAAGGTATCCTGATGTGAGAATTATACGCACACAAATTAAACCTCTTTTTATCAATTGTAGTGAAGAATGTAAGTAGGGATCGTTCTTAACCGGGGATTAGGAGGGATTGCAAAATCACTTGGAAACTGACTCAAAAACGTAAAATAAAGTTTAAAACACTAAACTAGACTCAAAGAATGCAAAACTAAACAATAAAACACTAAAACAAACCAAAGGACTCAAAACAGCCCCAAAACACTCAAAACTGCCTTAAAAACACAATCTGGACAGTTTTTAGCACTTTGGTGAATTTGGACGAATTTGTGTAATAAATTGAATCAAAACACTTATAAACACAAACTAAGACACTTTCTAACTAAATTGGACACTAAAGTAAAGGGGGAATGAGGTTTTGACGAAATTAAACTAAATGCACAGATTGTAATAAAGGGCAGATTCTAAATATGAATTTGATGAAAATATGGATGATGGAATAGCTAAGGGGTTCATCTCCACACATGCCATACTTGCACACAAAACGATTTCTAATTGCTTTTCAATAACCCATGAATTCTCAACGCCCCAGATTAACCGTGAATTGCACTAATTAACCCTCAGATTTTCCTAACATTATTGAATTGGATGATTGCATACGACAACCCAAAACATTCCCCACAAGTCCCCTACATGATTGCATAATAGAGAAACAAGCAAGAATCATTAAGTTCTATGGAAACCATAAGCATTGACGAAGCACTTGTTACTATGATTGCATGAAACTTATGCCAAGAATTTACTTAACGCAATTGAGATCATCAACTTTTACTACTTGTGAATATAAGTTTGTAACGATTAGGTGAAACTTCCTTATATCCTACCATTAGATTTACGCATGATAATTAAGCGTGCACTCTCAACCAACACACACAAATCAGTTTAATTCAAATAGATAAGTAAATTGAATTCACAACTTATGAAACGCAATTAGAGGTAATCAAATCATATAGCAAGCATGATCATGGTTTCGAATCTTCCCCTAGCTAAAGGGGGGTTTAGTTCCTCATACGTACAAGACAAAGATAAGTAAATTTAACCATTGAAATCAAGGAGAGGAAAACACCTAAAAATTCCAACAACTTAAACTTGAATTGTATGAACGTTTAAGCCCTCTTCTCCTCCTCTTTGTTGCGGCACAAGGGTTTGTTGTGAGTTTTGAGGGTTATGGATGGTGTAGAATGATGTGTTTAGGATAGGGATGGATGTAGGGGATTTCAAGGCTTATTTTTGGGCAGAAAATATGAAAAATGGTGAAGTATGGATGTGTTATAGAGAGGGGATGAATTTCTGGCGTGAATGGTGAATGAATGAATGATTCCTCCTTTTGTGGCTGCAATGGATGTTTATTTATAGGTGGATGAATGATTAAAGAGGGAATATGACAGCTAGGTTGGTTGGTGGCTGCCATCATGAAGAGTGCATGGATGTGGCTGAATGGGTTAAAGAGGGAATGATGATGGGAGAGCATGTAGGTGACAGCTAGGTTGGTTGGTGGCTGCAATGGAGGTGTGGAATGATGATGGGAGAGCATGTGAGTGAATTATGAAGAGTGAATGCATGTAGGGTGCTGCTATGGTGGGAAATATTGGGCAGAAAATATCCTAAGGCTTTATTACTTAGTTTAGGAAAGGATGTAACTCCAAATCCTCCTTTAGGTCTTCAATTTCGTCCATTCCTTTTGCTCCAAGCATATGCTATCCATTCCAAGCCCAATTTTGATCCAAAATGCATCCTTTTGCATACTTTGCCCTTAAATCCTGAAAATACATAAAACTAGCTTAAAAGACTACTTTACTAAGGAAAAACACTTTAAATGCACAAGACAAGCTAAACTAAGGTGCATAAATATGCTCCTATCAAATTCCCCCACACTTAGCTTTTGCTAGTCCTCGAGCAAAACAAAACGATAACAAACAAACAAAACAACACTAAACAAGTAAAACACAACCTAAACCTTCCAACAATCGTCTTAGGGATTTCCAATGCACATGACATGTTAAAAATCATTATTCCCACAGATTTTAGCCATCTTGACACTCGAGCACAGGCTTAATCATAGTCATTACTTATTAGTTCACAAATAACCACTTAAAACGATGTTTTGAATGTAGTAACATGCCTTAGAGAATTTGCTCAATTCCTTACAAGATATGCACTCAATTTTCACTCAGATTTTCTAACTACACACCTTAATCTAGTTATATGTGAGAAGATTAATGAAAACGAGCACTCACATATATATATCACAAAGAAAGCAATTTCTGGAGTTAATAAGCATGTTTAGATATGATCTCATGACTGGAATGCTACTACTTAGACACGAGAACCAGTGACACCATATGCTCATGCCAAATTCAAACTCTACAAATTGAAATGCACAACACTCAAGATAAAAGTCAAGGGTTGTAATGGGGCTTGGGGTGTTTGGCTAACAAAGAAGGGATATGGAAAACAAAGGTTCTTAAAGAAATAGTGAGCAAAGCATTCGAATCAACTTAGAATTCACTTTTGAATGAAAACTCAACTTTTGAACAAAAAGGGAAAATTTAGACAATTTAGGGCCAGATTTGGTGTTTTGGACCCTTTCTTCAACATTCAACACTTAATCACTCATTTTTTTTTTCTTTTCTTTTCTTTTGAAACTCAAAACATACATATAGACTTAAGAACAAGCATTCCCTCCCCCACACTCATTTTCTTGCATAATGTAACTCAAAAGGAATTCATTTAAGTCATGCTCACTATCTTTTAAGAACAAGGGTGTGGACTGTCTTAAATTAGGCTAGGTGAGGATAATGTGGGTTAACAAGGAATAAAGGCTTAACAAGGCTCAACGGGGTTAACTTAAACAAATAATAAAGTAGGATACACGGCAATTTGGCTTTGGTGGTGGTCACTACACAACTTCTTCTTGAATATGTGTTATGCAAATCAATAACATGCTTTGAATGAAATGGGCATGAGTTCTAGCATTTGGAACTTATATGATGAAACGCCTTCTAAGTAGTAACCGAGCAAAGAATAATGAGATCATGCAACGAGTTTGAAAACAAGAATCACAGATTAATACTCTCCAAAGAATGTTTAAAGCTCAAGTCTCCCAGGGTTGTAATGTTTGTTTGAGTTCCTTCCTTCAAGCATGTTACAAAAACTAATTTTTCTTTTAGGATTGCATGTGAAGTCATACATTATAACCATAACCAAGCATATACCAAGAGTAAATCAAACTTTTCTTCATGTTTATAACTCTTTTTAACAGTCATGCAATTAAAAACCAAATCCTCATCATTGCGTTGGAAGGTACCCTAAGACACAAACACACAAAAACGACTCAAAACACTCTTTTCAGGCTTTTCAAAACATGTTTTTCAAATTTTTATGTGATTTTCGGAGTTATTAAACAAAACACACTAAAACACTCCAAATCAGCTTAAAAACATTTTAAAACAGCAAGGAACAACACTTGAAGTTATGGGTGATAAAATCCAACGAATTTGCATCAACATACTTAGTTACCCCCCCCCCCCCCCCACACTTCAATCAAACATTGTCCTCAATGTTTTAAGCCTAAATTCACACCAAACAAAAGTAAACACATAAACAGCAACTAAACATACTAAACATGGCAGAATGTAACTAAATAAGAGAAGAGTTTAGGGAC